TGGTGTGTGTGTGTGTGTGTGTGTGGAATAAGCTCCATATTGCGGGGGGGGGCGGTTTAAAGGGCTTCCTCAGCCCCTCCTGAGGTAAATGGGAGGGGGGCCTTTTCTCAGCTGTGGGGGAGGGGGAAAGCGAGGAAGCCCCGCCCCCTTAAGCCTCTCCGGCAGCCGCCCCCGCCGCCCCCGCCTCACCTCTCCCTCCGGGTCCTCGGGTGGGCAGCGCTGCCATGTGCCCGCCCGCAGGCTCGGCCGTCGTCCTCCTCCTCCTCCTCCTCCTCGCCGCCGCCGCCGCTTCGCTCCCGCCGGCCCGCTTCAGCGCTGCTTCCGGTGCGGCAGGCCCCGCCTCGGCATGACTTCCGCCGCGGTAAACCCCGCCCCCCCCGGAACGCCCGGCGACGCCCGCTTTTTATCGGCGGAGGAGGGCATAGAGCTAGAAACATTGAGAGAAGGAAAGGTTGGGTAGAAACGCCTACTTCCGGGAATGCTTTAATTCCCACAATGTCCGTAGATGCATGAAAAGTCTAGACAAGCCCTTTTCAAAAATCGAGGCCTACAGGTGACTGGAGCAGAGCCCTTTTCCAAGCCGAGGCCTAGAGCCTAAAGGGGACACGTGCTCCCTATTTGCAGGCCCGGGGCTCATGAAATGTGAAAGGGGTTACTTCCCATAGCTTCAAACTGTTTCTCTCAGTGAGAGGAAAACCACATGAGAGGAGAAGGCGGAAGTGGCATAAGCCGGAAGTTCAGCAAAGCAGCATGTTTGCAGTGGAGCAGCAAGCCGGGGAACCTTCGCCTGCTGGACTCTCTCTCTCTCTTGCGGGGGAGAGGGGAGGATTATTATCATCATTATTTTGAGTGAGGGGCGATCCTAATGCCCCGCCAGCGTGTAAGTGCCTGCAATGATCACTGTTTAATGTTTATTGCAATTGCGAAGGGGCAGTTTTATAATTTGCAGAGCCAGCCTTGAAATTCATGATTGCAGATGGAGCACTGGGGGGGATTCATGTAGTAACATGCGGGTATATGCACAATTTTGTATTTATTTATTGTTGTCGTGTTTCTGTAGTGTGCCTTGGAGTTGGAGACCCTCCTGAGAGCTGCGTGCAACGAAATTTCTGAGTTACGACGATTAGGGGGCATTCAAAGGGGCAATAAAAGTTCTTTTAAGTCTTAATTGCCAACCGAGCATTGTAATTCATAATTGCCAACCGAGCATTGGTGGCGCATGCATCTAAATGAAGTGTTGCAATGCGAGGTTGCAAAGCCAGCCGTTACAATTCAGCCTTGCAAATTGAGTTTTGCCAGTTAGGGGCTTTCTAGGGGGGGAAACTGCGAGAAACGTGTTGTTGTTTTTTTAAATTTATTTTTTCAAACTAATGATGAGATCTCGGTCTTACTTTAAGGGACTCTGGGTGGGTGGGACGAATAATTTTTTACAAGCATAGGTCGTGCTCAAATTACCTCCAGAATTGAGCCCAGAATTTCTGTTGCTAAGTGAGACAGTTGCTAAGTGAGCTTTGCTCCCATTTTTACCGCCCTTCTTGCCACCATTAAGCGAATCCTTGCAGTTGTTAAGTTAGGAACATGGTTGTTTCAGTGAATCTGGCTTCCCCATTGACTAAGGTCACAAAAGGGGATCATGAGATCCCGGGACAATGTGACCGTCGTAAATATGAGTCTTGTTGCCAAGCATCTGGATTTTGACCAGGTGATCAAGTAGAGTGGTTGGTGTTTAAGTGCTCTTTTAGATACATTTGAGCTCTTGATGCGTTGGGGTTTGTTTATCTTTGCATATCAATTGGAAACTTGCCTGACAATGCTTGCAGCCTTGAACCTCTTTTGTCTGTTTGTATTTACATGAAGTGGCCTCTTCCAGAGAATTTCTAGCAGAAGCACCTTTCTGCCTCTGCAGCCATGGAAGCATTCAGAGTTCCCAACTGCATTCAGGCTAGGAAGGATGACGCGTTTTTCCAGTGGAAACCTGGTCTACCCAAATATGGGACGGAACAAACTGCTTTCGCCTTTCAGCCTTAATCCAGGAGCTTTCGCAGGCAGTCACTCCCACGACAAAGTATTTTTGTGTTGAATTTAAACTAGGAAGGATGGTTTCCTTCACCTGCTGTTTTCCCACCTTGATAAACTACTAGCTCGATACCTGTGCTTTGCTACGAAACTATATATAGAGATAAGATGAGTGGACTTCAACTCCCAGAATTCCCCAGCCGACCGTGCCACTAGCTTAACAACTGCAATGATTCAACTGTGGCAGGAATGGTAGTAAAATAAGGCAAAATTCCCTTAATGAAAGCTCTCACTTAGCAGCAGAAATTTGGGGCTCGGTTGTGGTCATAAGCTTAATGCTACCTGGTTTGTTTGTTTTTTAATGTGTGAGTTTTAACCCACCTCTTTCCTTGCTTTTTAAAGACAATGATGAACGAGGCTGATATTGTGCTGGTAGAGGACACGCAACAGCCTAGCTATGAAAAGAGGACAAAAAAGTCACGGAAGCGCAGCCGAGAAGAAGTCAAACAGCCAGTTGTGTCCTCTGATCAGACATCTTCCCAGGATACAGAAGATGCTGGGACTAGTAGAAAAAAACATAAGAAGAAAAAATCCAGTTTGGAAACTTCTGATGCTTCCTGGGTCATCCCCGAGACTCCGCTGAGCGATGAGTCCGAAATAAATAACTTTGTGCCCAAGAAGAAGAAGAAAAAGATGAAACACAGACTTAAACATGGTAGTGATGAGGAGGGTTGGAGCCCATCAATTCCCAACAAATCCAGTCAACCATCCCTCAAAAAGGCCTTGGCAAATGGGGGTGTTGATGATGATGAGTTTTGGAGCTCATCAACTCCCAACAAATCCAGTAAACTATCTCGGAAGGAGGACTTGGGGAATGTCAGCGTGGTTGATGGTAACAGGTCATCTCGTAAGAAGAAGAAGAAGAAGAAAAGGAAACGAAGGGAGGGTAGCTATGTCCCTGGTGAACTTGAGAAGGAGAAGGCTGAGGCCACAAGTTCACAGAGAGAAGATCAGGTGGACCTTGACCAAACGATAGACACGCAGATGGATCTCTTTGGCTCCTTGCCTTTCTCCTTCTCCGAGGGACCACAAGTGGACCTTCACCCGGGGCATGGCCAAGAGGGAAGCTGTTCTCCCACTGCTGAGGTTTCTGAGGCTACTCGGGTGGACCTGGAGATGGAAGGAACATCAGCTGGAGACCATGAACAGACACAACCCCAACCAAAATTGCCCGCTTCGGGGGTTAACACCAAGTAGGATCTTCTAGTGCCTCTTACTCGTCCTCATCTAGATTAGAAGAGGGGGTAGAACTCTGGGATGTGAAAGAATGTCTTTGGGGAGGGGTGGACCTTAGCTTCATAGGCCCGTCACATTCAAGAGAGTGGGGTGGAGTTTTTGCTCTGTCACTTATCTCTAGATCGGTGGGGAGGGTTGAAACTGAGGACTTCATAGCCTGCTGGGGGTTGATTTGATCCGTTGCTTACTTCCAAACTCTGGATAACTCACGCCCTGAAAGACTCGTCTCTGAACTCAGCAGAAGGTTAGGCCGAAGTCGTGGGATGAAATGGGTTGGATTTTCCCATGGAGAAGGTCCCAAGGTATCTCTAAGGAAGGCTTCGTTTGCCCTTTTTTTTGAGTTTCCGCCACAAATTTGGGAGCAGACGTTCTCACCTGCGGGTTTGCACTAAAAGGGGAATGGAGGAGAAGCGATAAAGGAGAAGGCAGGTTGGGAGGCTAATTCTTAAATTAACCGTTTGTCAGGCCATGCCCCAACTCGGTCCTTGAGGCGAGGTGTACTATACTAAAAGTCAAGTGGGGCACAGGATAGCAAAGCCAGAACTGAAAGTTTGCACACCAAAGTTTCACGGTTAACTTTCCCTCGTCCAGTTCCTCCGCTGGTTCTTGATTGTCCAATTAAATTTGAATAAATTGTTTTGGGAACTGCCTCTTCAATGGCAGGCTGGGAAGACCCTGGGAAGGTACAGTGAGTTGTTAGCCAGGCCCCCTCTCCCATCCAGCTCCATCCCAGCTACCTCTCCCCACCTCCTGCCGCATAGTTAATGGCAGATTGGCAAACGATGGCAGTTCTGGCAGGTGTTGTATAATATTCCGCTATCAAGTTTAGAGACCAAGGTCAGGCAGAGTTGAGCTGTGCTACTAATGTCCCAGAATGGGGCAGCTGGGCTACCTTTAAATAAATAGCCATGCCCAATTTTGATCTCTCAACAGATTGGATCAATCCCAAACGGGTATGAAACTCCGATCTTCACGCAAGCGGTCCCCTCCCGAAACATATTCTGAGGAGGAAGAAGAGGATTGGTATGCTCTGGATAGGGAACAACTGGAGAATGCCCGAAAAGAACTAGAGGAATTCATCCCTCGGGCAAAGACACTGGCAGATTCTGCGATCAGGCAGCTGGCCAAACGAGATCTAGCCAGGTTTCGGGAGCTTAAGAAAAAAGGTGAAACATGACCGTTGTGAGTGCAACAGTAAAAGTAACTAGGTTGGGGAAGGGAGGAGGCAGATTGAAGAAGAGGAGAGGAGAAATAGGAATTTCAGTCTGTAAAATGTGATGCCTGGGAAATTCTGATTTAATGGACTCTGATTTAGCGGACTTTGCATGTGAAGGACCTGATCTCTCTCTGGACAATTTAAATAAATTTAATGCTTGTTAACATTAGCAATTCAGGTCATAACACTGAAATGAATCTCTCTCTTTTTCCCCTCTGTCTTTAAAAGTTTAAACATTAGAGTGTAAATAGTCTCTCTAAGCAAAATTGCATGCATCCCGCTCTACCAAAATAATAGAATGTATTACTTATAATACAGTTAGTCCTCGACTTAATGACCACGATTGGAAGCAAAACTTATGCTGCTGAGTGAGATGCTTGTTAAGTGGGTTTTGCCCCATTTTAAGAACTTCCGTGCCATTGTTGTTAAGTGAATCAGTGCAGTTGTTAAATGATAACGTGGTTGTTGAGTGAATCTCATTTCCCCACTGGCTTTGCTCGTCAGTAGGTCGCAAAAGGGGATCATGTGACACACACACACACACACACACACACCGGAACACTGCAACCGTCATATATATGAGTCAGTTGCCAAGCATCTGAATTTTGGTGACCATGAGGATGCTGCAACAGTCATTAAGTGTGAAAAAAGGTCCTCAGTCCCCCTTTTTTCCCCAGTGTCCTTGTAACTTTGAATGGCCACTAAATGAACTGCTGCAAGTCGAGGACTACCTGTATAAGAGAACAGTTGTTGTTTTAGAAAAGAGGGCTGGCCCATTATAAAATTCGCCTCAGAGCTCTTCAATGTTGAAAATTCCAACGTTTTCCAACAAATGATTTCGTTCTCCCAATTTGTCACGTTGCTTGTCTTTGCAGGCTTGGCGGTGAGGTTCGGCGTGTTCTCCCAAGCGGAAAACAGCTTATTAACCGAAAACATTGAGGCTTTTTTGGAAGAAAGCGGGATTGAGACGGCGGAGAAACTCCTCTTCTCCAACCGGTTTCCAGAGGAGGAAGCCGAAATCAAGAGGCTGAAATGCAAATATTTGTTTTGTGAAAGAATCGGTGAGTTTTTTGCCGGCTTTATTCCTGGTTAGCCAGAAGGGAAATCTCATCCAAGATGTCAGTCACCCCATTTAAATCCTGAGTCTCGAGCCAAACTTCCAAAGGATTTATTGGGAGTTAAACTGTCCGGCACTGCTTGGGTGTAGCCGACTCTGTTGTGGAGGAGGCTGGGGAAGGCCAGAGGCCGGCTGGGCAGTCAGAGGAAGACCCGGGCCCATCCCCTCCCCATCCTAGGGCATGCTGGGAAGAGAGGACAAGGGAGAGGCGTGAATGGTGTGGTCTACGACTTGATGGATAACGGAGAATCTCCGTAGACTTTAAGTGCCATTGTCACTTTAGTAACCCGTCGCTAAATGAACAGTTGTAAGTCAAGGGCTAGCTAAGTCTTGTCTGCTTGCTTTATTCAGGTCATTTGTATGCGTTGTAACGTGGTTCTAATACTTCCCGTCGTTTTGTCCACAGCTCAGGGTATTGCCCGGCCCTGGAGGCTAGTTTATTATCGAGCCAGGAAAATGTTTGATCCTCAGAATTATAAAGGACGGTAAGGAGAGGGGGGAAAAACCCCCAAACTTTATTCTTTAGCAGAAGTCAAATTTTCTCCAGGGTGTAGAAAGAGAGCGCCAGCCTCGAACTAAGAGGAAATTTCCTGACAGTGAGAACAATTACAGATAGTTCTTGACTTTATGGCCATTCGTTGAATGACCGTTTCAAAGTTACAACGGCACCGGAAAAGGGGATATGAACGCTTTGCACACTTACAGAAACCTCTGCCAGCCATTGGTAGCCGGATCGGCATAGGTTAACTCCCAAGATGAACATCAGAGCAACAGTCAAGTAAACAAATACCCCAGTCCAGAAATGGGCATAGAGCCATCAGTAAACAGCCCAGCCAAAGCATCTCTAAGAGCAACCCCACTCCCTTCTAGCACTGATGATGTTACCTAGTTGGGTAATGAAACATCTGCAAGAAAACGAGCTCAGAGGCACCCAGGACCCCACAATTTCCCTCTCCTCCTTTCTTCCTCTTTTTCACAAACCCCACTCCCTTCTAGCACTGATGATGTTACCTATTTGGGTAATGAAACATCTGCAAGAGAGCAACTGAGCTCAGAGAACAACAAGGACCCCTCATTTCAACTCTGAGCTACCAACGTTCTCCTTTATTTTTTATTTTTTTAAAATCTTTGTAAAGATTTAAAGCAACGGGTTTAAATTCTCCTGACATCTTTTTAGGTATACAGAGAAAGAGAAGAAAAAGCTCTTTAAGTATCACGCCATGTATGGGAATAGATGGAAAAAAATCTCAGAGCTTATGAACCGAAGCAGTCATTCAATCGCCTTGAAATATTCGCAGATGGTAGAAGGTAGGTTGGCCTCTCTTCGCCTCTCCTCCAAACCCCTCTTCTAAACGCCAAATTCTCTGCAGAGAGAGCCCTCGGTTCACAATAATCCCTTTACTGGCCCTTCAAGGATAAAACAGCAGTGGAAAAAAGCCGCAACGACTAGTTTAACAACCGTGGCAAGAAAAGCCTTAAAACGGGGCATAAGGCACTGATCCACTGTCTCGCTTAGCCACAGGAATGTTGGGCTCAATGGTCATAAGTCAAGGACTACCTGTACCTTCAATCGGTTCTTGATAATAAAGAGTTTATTCCAGTTTTAACACTTTTGTTTTTCTTTAAAAATTATGAGTCACAGCTTTCCAAATGATGGCCTCTTATTTTCCACTAGCCGATAACCCGGCGTTGCCCAGGTATTTATTTTTCCCAACCCTGTATTAGACAGGAAAATCCTGTAGTCGGGACTCACGCTGTTGTACTGTCTCTGGCGCAGTGTTGCAATTCTTCTATTCCTCCACAAGGGGGAGCCCCCTTGTGGAGTACTGTGAAGCCGTTATCATGGCAAGTCCACTATGCTGTACAGTAGAAGCCATTTTAAGGCATGCACACCCCCTCCCAGGAGTGTTAGAGGCGTCTTGCCCCCACAGTATTTGTTTCCAGAGGGTAAGTCATCTGTGTATAAATAATAAAGGAAAAAAAGAAAAAGAAGATAGTAGAGAGATGGAGAATAGTTCCGTGATATTTGTTGTTTAACAAACTTTTCCCAAATCGTGCCCCAATCTTATCTTGACCTCTGTCTCTATCTTGTTTTCATGTGTGTGTCTGTCTGTCTGTCCAAATACGTGCGCAGACTCCAACCTTGGCCCTTGGACAAAAGACGAGACTTATAGACTCCTTCAAACACTTAGAGATATCCTGAAAGCGAAAATGAAGGGGTTGGATTCGGCCTTGGACAACAGGGACTCCAACGGAGCCCTCACCCTTCTGCGAGAAAACCTCTACAAGAACATCGGCTGGATGAAAGTGGCAGCCCAGGTGGAAACCCGGAGTTGGCGACAGTGTAAAAGGAAATGGTGAGGTTTCACGGGAGACGGGATCCAGGCCTCAAGGAGAGGTAGAGAAAGGGAGGTGGTCCCCCGTTTCCTTTCTAAGGTGCGTTGAGGACACCTTTCGTCAAGGCGGATGGCCCTGTCGGTCCGCAGAAACCCAGAAGCGGGAGGGAGTCCGCTAACACCTTGGTAGCAAATTTTACGGAAGGGCCTAAGCCATCAGGACAGGACTGACCTCCTCAGTTGGCAAGGCCCATCTGGATTTTGCCTAGAGGAAATGGGCTGTAGAAGAAAGGCAGGCAAAAAGAAACTGGAGGCGGCGTCAAGAGAGGAATCAGCCTGGCATCGTTACGTTGCCACAAGTCCAACCCTTGAACTCTGTTCATCCTTAGGCGGCACCGATTTAGTGTGGACCGTGAGTTGACTGGATTCTCGTCTGTAGGCACGAGTAATACAGCAGTTTAACTGGAACTTTGTGTCTGGCCCTGATCCGTCGCGCTTACTGCTGCTTGTGATAACTCACATGTTCTTCCTTTTAAAAGGATGTCGATCCTAACGAAGAAAATGATGGGGAAATCGCACTTCCACGGACTTAACAACTTGCGGTTTAAGATCGACCTCATCGAAAGGTGCGAGAAGGCTTTTAAGCCCTGTAATTTCTTGATGTTTTTGTTCAAAGCAACCCCGTGTTTTCCAATGAGGGGGGTATGGACGCCTAGCAATAGACAGACGATGCTTGGCGATAATGTTAGCGGAAGATAAACTAGGAGATGGACAGATAGTCTTGGGAAAACCCTTTTTTAAAGTTTGAGGTATTAATAAAGACTTATTTTGCCAATTTCAGATTGTACGAATTGAACGTGGCAGACACCAATGAAATAGACTGGGAGCACATCGCTGGCGTTATTGGGTAAATGGCTTAGAATAAGTCTCAAGGAATCCATATCAGTGGAATCTATCTATATAAAAGCGAAATGCCACTCACACATCATCACAAAATCTCCAGAACTGTAAAGCCTACAAACTTGAAATTTGGCACGTATTTTCCTCTTGGCTTTTAGGGGCTCACTAAGAAAGGATTTTTCGAAATGACCATCAGAGCATTTAGAGTATTTCCTGTATTGTTATTATTAACATGCTCTGATGCTAAGGAGTTCTACCTCCCCCTCCCCACCTGAAAAGAAATCCCTTCCAAATGCAAAACACAAGCAGAGGAGTTTCAGTTTCACAGCAGCACCAAGCAGCTTCAGTACAGAACAGTTGAGCTAAGCCACGCCCAGGCTCCTTGCCGTCTCCTTGCTCACACAGCAAATATTGTTTCGGTTTCCAAACAGCCCCCGACTCAGACTGGGAGTTCTAGTCCCGTGTTAGGCATCAAAGGGGTGTTCAGGGGAAAAGAGGAAACAGGAAGGAGTATTAGGTGTGCTAGCCACGTTGAGTTATTTGGGGGGGTGGGGCGGAATGGGTGGGATATAAATAAATCTTCAAACGGTTGCTCAAGAATGGATGTAAGTCAAGGACTACCTGGAGTTGCTGCCTGGGAACTCTGGGAATTTCAATCCATCCTACCTGGTCTCTTTGTCACTTTTTTTCATTCTCATGACTTTCTCATTCTCTCCTTCCAGGAACGTTCCTCCGGATTACGTCCAGAGCAGATTCTACACAATGAAGACGGCCTACGTTCCTTTCTGGTATGAGAAAACTTTCCCAGGTGCGTTTCTTTGGATCCTGCCCTTCATTCCTGCCGGCCTCACGAAAAGCAGACAGCAATTCGATGGGGGAACAGAATCTTCCCCTGTCTTCTGCCGGCTAGCAGTTGTGCTTACGGGACGGTTTGCACACGTACTTGTGCAAGCGTTAAAGAACCTGGGGCTAAAACGTGGCCGAGAGCCTCAAGCAACGCACATCCCAGATCCTCGTTGTGTATGTGGAATTTTACAGAAATAACCGTCGTTACGCGGGGGAAGAGCAGGTGGTTTGGGGGAAGGTAGCCCTGGACTTACGGCCACAGTTGATCCACAAGTCCATCTTGCCAAGGGAAGCCATGTGTTAAATGAGTTGTGCCCCGTTTTACGACCTCCCTTGCCACACTTGTTGAGCGTGCAACTAGGATGGTGAAGTGATCTGGCTTCCCCGTTGACGTTTGATAGAACGTGGCCCCTGGGGCACGGCGGCCATCTTAAATATGAACCCGTTGACAAGCGTCTGGATTTTGATTGCGTGACCGAGTAGGGGATGTTGCAGCGGTCGTTAAGCGCGAAAAACATCCAGGAGTCGGTTATTTTTCCCCCAGTGCCGACGAGACTGCCTGTGCTGTAGTATCAAGCTGCAGGAACCACATTTTGCAGGTCTGAAAGTACAGCTTCCCCCGCTGTCGTCTTTACAGCCTGAGGGATTCTCCTATCCCTCTTCCTCTGCCCGTTATGCAGCTGTGGGCCCAGCAGTCTCTTATTGGGCCATTTTTGAGGCCGTGGTCTCTCCTCTGTCTTCCGAGTAGCCCTTCCAATCAGGTCCCCGGGGGAGTGGGGAGGGGTCCTCTTTCCAGAACCTTCATCCCTCCGTGGAGAATGGTCCACGCCGTTGACCAAAAATGGTCCTTTTTTTCCTCCCGCAGAAGTTATCGACTACCTGTTTGAAGACACGTTGCCCACCTTGAAGGAAACCTACGAGAGGCTGGCCCAAAAACAGAGGGCCCCTCAGGAGGAAACAAGCTGTAAAACGTCCTTCCGCTTCAACGACATTTTCCGAGATATGCTGGAAGATGAGCTGATAAACGCCGAAGACCTCAGCAATTGGGAGAGCGGAGAACCGAGTCAGGCCAACGATTGAGATCCTGAACAAACGATAGGAAGGAGGAGGAGGGAACTTCCTGGCTGTTGCGGAATGGGAAAAGATTCACATTCTCTTTGGCTTCCTGCCTTCCATCCGGGAGAGGAATCGTTGTCTGTGTCAAGCCCGATATTGAATTGTCTGCCACATCTCTTCATCTCCGCCCCCTGCCTTTTATCCCCAGAACTAGGGTGGGGCTTCGCTGGCAGCGGTGGCTCTTCCATCCCAAGGACCGGCCCGTAGATTTCCACTGCTCTCCTCTCCTCTGCCTTCTGAGCATCCACAGGGCTTGCACTCCTCTTCCTCATCAGCCACCTTGAGCCCTGGGGGCTGTTGACGGCCCAGGCTCTGCCCTCTCTCTCTCTCTCTCTCTCTCTCTGTCTGTCTCTCTCTCTCTCTCTCAGTCTCAGGGACCTCAAATGATGTAAGCAGCTTCTCTCGATGCAGAAGATGCCAGTTGCCATCCTCCCAGGATGTGTCAGCCTTTGCGCCGAAGTCACACGTTCTACCTTAGTCCTCTGCTTAGAGGAACGACGGAGTGTCTTGTCTCCATCAGCCATTTTTTCCTCCCACCAAGTGCCAAACTTTTCCCGGCCTTCCTTAGAAAGCAGCCTCTCGGATTGCCCAGTCCGGAAGGATTTCAAGCCCTTCTTAAAATAAGATTTTGAGCCATTAAATACATACTTGGAATGGAACATTGGCTTTTCCTGGATGTTAAATGTTTTTAAGTGAGGTGCGACTTTTTCCTCCCATCTGCAAACGACAAACTCAATTTTTTTTTGTCTGGGAATGAGAAATGTTTCAGGGCCAAAATACCCCATTTCCCCATCCTCAGACATCCTGCTTGAAAGGAGCGTTGGACTAGAAGACCTCCCGAAGTCCCACTCCATTATTCTAAATTTTTGGACATTCCCGTCTTGCCTCACTTAAATTTTATTTCCAAAAGCAGCTGATTTCTCCTTCTGGAGTTGTTTCCAAAAGGTGAAGATGATTTCTTTAAAAAAAAACCTCTCCGCCTTCAATCAACGCAGCATTCACTGAGGAATAAAATCCCGAATTTCGGGTGTCTGAAAGCGTAAGCGATTCTCCTTCCCAGAAAAGGCTAAATGTGGCGATCTCTCCGTGTTTCTCGCTCTCGAAAGCAGGGGGGTCTTTTTTTAAAGTTTCAATGGTGCCCCCCCCCCCCCCCCCAAAAAAAAAAAGTTGTTGCTAAGTTTTTCAGTTCTCAGCGCAGGGCGTGGTTCTCGGCTGCTTAATTTAGGCAAGAAGCAATGCTAAAATTGCACACAGGGCAACGGGATTCTTCCAAGGTTGGGTCTTTTTTTTGTCTTTTGAATTTATCAGCTAAGGACTTTGTTTTTATTTTATCAAAAGGGCTGGGTTGTGTTTTTTTTTTCCTGATGGGTTCAAAACTATTTGTACGTGGGGTTTTTATTTTTAGAAAAATAAAAAATAAATAAAAAGCACAACGAAACAGTGTCTCATCTTTGATCCTTTTCTCTGGTACCCAAGTGGCGATCATCTCAGTGCAGGTTTAAAATGCAACGTTGCCAACTGGCTGGCCCTGATATTTCCTGATGATGAAGAATTTCCTTTCATTGCAAGTCCGTTTCTCTCTCTCTCTTGTAAAACTTTGTGAAGCCTCTTTTCAGGGTAAATGCCCGTTTCTCGTACATGCTCCGCGTTGAAAATGCAACGCTGGGGGTTTCTTGCATTCCCAGCCAAAACTCATTAGACACAATTCTCTGAGATAAGCTCATGCCTTTCAGGGTTGTAGAAGGCTGCCAAGAAACAGAAGTCCAATTACTTCTGAAGAAACAGAAGCCCAATTATAAACCGACAGAAATTCCAGCAAAGACAAACCAGAGTTCACAGGGCTTCAATGAGGAATCAGAATCTAATGAGCTTCTTTGCTTCCTGCAAAGAGCACATCATCAAGATCTGACTTTTATGGGAGGGGCAATCACCTCCCAGCCTTACTCCCGAGTTGCCCCTTTTGTCTCAGCTGCTCTTGCCTTCTAGCAGCTCTGTGCATACGCACACTGGGAACAGGCTCCCTTCGTTCCTCTTCCTCGCTGCTGCCAAACTCCGGAGGCTCCAGAGTCAGCACCCCATCTCTGTGTCAGACGCAAGACCCTCGTCCCAAGTCCTTGTCAGACTCCTGGACTGGTTCCCTTTCATCCTCACTCTCCGATACTGCTGCCATCTGCACCGGTTGGGTCAGAAATACAACTGATCCAGTCTGATCCAGATGTTAGAAGTTGACTGGCTGACCTTGGGTCAACCCCCAGGAGATGGTGAATTCTAGTCCTACCTTATAAGGGTAGGAAACCTGGCTGGGTGATTTGCTCTCAGCCCAAGCAACCTCACAGTGTTGTTGCTCTTGGGGGGGGGGGGGAGAAGGAAGAAAGGAGCATTAGATGTGCTCCCCAATTTGCATGACAAAATAACCAACACTGGGGGGTCAAAATCCACTGCATAATAAGGCGCCTTCCCACTTAGAGGGGGGGGAAATGCAAACTCGATTAAGTCGAGCTACTCCTGGTGCAAGGAAAGAAAGAACGATGCAGGCAGGGGGGCCATTCATTGCATATTTTCCCCCCCTCCCCCCAAAAGGAAGGGGGCCCAGAGAGAGAAGCTGGCCTCTTGCAGCCAAAGCAAGCGAGGCGGCTCCAGAGCTCACTCTTGTTTACCAGCCTGCAACGGTTGGCTGGCAATGCTGGTCAGGCCATTGAGATGCCTTTGTGGACTTTCAGTTGGACGGAGGTTGCTCCCAGAACACTTGTTAGCATTCTGGTTGCCATAACAACCAGCCTCTCCATTCCCTGGCTGGGGGGGGGGCGAGTTAGCCTCGCAACTGGCATCCAAAGGATGTGATGCCACCAGACTTGTGGACCGGCTGAATTTTTCACTCTGCTGGACCCAACCGTCCATTTCTTCCTTCCAAGCGTCCTGCCAGGCCCAGGGTGGGGCCAGTCCCCCTTCTCTCCCCCCCCCCCGGCCCTTGGCGGGCCCCCCCCCTCTCCCGAGTGGTACGTCCCTCAAGAGCTGGGACCCAGCAGCATCTCTCTGGCTTGCCAAGGGAACACCTGGAGAGCAGCAGGAGCAGGAGCAGCCGGATGGCAGCTGTGGCCGCCCCCGCCGGGGCCAAGAATGCCCCCCCTGCCAAAGTGGGCCTCCCCCGCCGGCGCAGCGTCAGCCAGATCTGCCCACCCCCCCGGCGCCCCATGACCCTGGCGGAGCTCTACCCAGGCTGCGAGAACGAGCGGCTGGGGGTGGCCAGAGAGAGCATGCTGCAGAACCACCTCATTGCCAAGGTGAGCAAGAAGGAAGGAAGGAAGGAAGGAAGGAAGGAAGGAAGGAAGGAAGGAAGGAAGGAAGGAAGGAAGGAAGGAAGGGAATGGGGGTGTGAGGGAGGGACGGAGGAAGGAGGGAAGGAGAGGGAGAGAAGGAAAGAAAGGAAAGAAAGAAAGGGAAGGAAGGAAAGGAAAGGAAAGGAAAGGAAAGGAAAGGAAAGGAAAGGAAAGGAAAGGAATGGGGATGTGAGGGAGGGACAGAGGAAGGAGGGAAGGAAGGAAGGAAGCAAGCAAGGAAGAGAAGCAAGGAAGGAAAGGAAGGAAGGAAGGAAATGGGAATGTGAGGGAGGGACAGAGGAAGGAGAGGGAGGGAGGGAAGGGACGGAGGAAGAGAAGGAAGGAAGGAAGGAAGGAAAAAACTGTGGTTCTCAGGATGCTGCCACATCACTTGACCTCTCTCCAATTCGGTTGAGGCCAAGGCGATTGGAACTGATTTGCAGCCCTTCCAACGACACCTTCTCCCAAGCTGTCATAACTGTGCTTTTAAGACACAAGCACTGAAAGGTAAAGCAAGAACTGGGGAACTATCAGAGGGGTCTCTGGCCCTCCCATGCCCTATATAGCCCGCAGGAAGGATGATGAGAGGGGTCGTCCCAAGGCTCAACTGGAGCAAAACCATCCATCAGGGCTGCAACCTCCTCACAGCTTAAGAAAAGTTGCAACAGGTAAAACACAAACTTTGAAAGGTGGGCAAAAGGAATCGGTTCCCTTGTTTGAACACTAGAGGGCAGCACGGACCGCTGCCAACCTCTTGCCGGCTGCTTGGAACAGCTGATCCCAATTCTCTCCAGGGCTCTTGGGACTACAACTCCCAGAATCCCCAAGCAGGATACTCACGGGGAATTCTGGGAACCATCCGTGTTCCCCATGCCTTTGGAAGGCCAGACGTGGGGGGAAACATATCTTGAAACAGCGCAGGGGAAGATGGGTGGGGTGGTTGCTGTTGTTTGGTTGTGCCAAGTTCTGTAACAATTGTCTTTTACTGAATTATTTCTATTGAAGAATGTTAATAGTAAAAGCAGTGCAGGTTTAAGAAAGAGGAAAAGAGTAAAGAAAAAGGGGGAAATAAGTAAAAAGGAGGGGAAAAGTGATTTCCAATCTTTACAGTAGTTACACAAAAAATCACCATTTCTCCCTCTTTAAGGTGTTTGATTGTGCTGGCTTTAGCAAATATCTCAAATATCTATCTCAAAAACAAGGGGGTTGTTCTAAGTTCCCTAGCTAAAAGTGAATCTGGCTGGCAACTTCCCATTTAGAAAAAGATTCAATTTAATTTAGGACACCCTCTCTTTCTAGGAACAAAAATAAATAAATAGAAAGTTTTGATGAGGATTTCTCCCTGGAAAATGTCATTTATGGAGTGGTGGGGGAAAAAAATCTCGTTTGAGAATCCTTAAATGCAGGCAGTATCTGTTGTGCACTTTTCTTCTCTGGCCACGAGAGGGGAGCCTCCCCCCACTTTCCTTTCTCCAACCGGTTTTACCGGGGAATCTAAAATTTTAGAGAGAACTTGCTTCAAACGGGAGGGGGCGCCTTTTGGGGGGAGGGGTTGGGAACAGCCCCCCCCCCTTTGGGCTTTTGATTGACGGGCCAGGGGCTCCTCTTCTAAAAAGAGAACTGGCCCAAGAGAAAAGGCTAGGAGAAGACAATATTTCAACCAACCTTAAAGAGGGCTGTTTGTCTTGTGTTCAAGAGTCTAACTTCCTCCTGAGAAATTAAAATATAAGATCCTATTGCACTAACTGGAGTCTTCAGGGGAGGAGGGAAATCATCTAAATATTTATTTGGGATGTGGGGTGAGTAGCTAAAATCAAGCTATTATATGGACACATCCATATCCAGACGGTTGGGGGATAATATATACTGTTCCATA